TTATTATTATAATTTATTTTATTTAACAATCTAAGAAGTTCGCAGCCATCAGCAGTTCCAGTGCAATTTCAGGTGCAATTGGGAATTCGGGAATCTCAGTGGAGCTGTTAGTGTAGCGAACCTTGTAGGTTCCAAAGTGTTTCTTGTCTCAGCTCCCTGGGTGCTCAGTGCTCACTGGTCCTCACGTCTTCTTCCCGTTTGCAGGTGGCTCACTTCCCCTTTAAGAACAACATGAGCTTTGTGGTCATCATGCCTGTGCAGTTCGAATGGAATGTGTCTCAGGTGCTGGCCAACCTGAGCTGGGACACCCTGAACCATCCCTCGATGCGGGAGGGGCCCACCGATGTCCGGCTCCCAAAGCTGCATCTGAAACACCAGTTGGACCTGGTGGCCACACTCAGCCAGCTGGGTAAGAGCATGGACCAGGTCAGGCTGTACGGCGTGGGTGAGGAAACCGCTGCAGGCAGGGGCTGTAGGTCAGACTGCCCTGTGCGCTGCCTTCATCTGGGCTCTCAGAAGGAGAAGAGTTTGATGTGAGTCCTTGGACTCTGTCTTGGTTTGGCCTCTCCAGGCAATATGGCACTGTCTACCTAAGAGGATTGCAAAGACCCCCAGGTGAGACCTTGGGGTGGCCTCCTGGAAGGAGGAAGATAAGCTGGGATCAATTGTTACAGGTCAGCATCAATCTACCAGTTATATAGGGAGTTCTGGGGGCCAAGTAGTAAGGAGTTGTGTTGCCAAGCCAAGGGCACGCACTTGGAACACACCAGCTGCTCCACAGGAGAAAGATGAGCCATCTCCCCCTGTGCAGTTTACTGCCTCTGGATACACACTGGGGGATCCGATTTGATGGCACACAGCAAAGCAGCTATTTGCTAAGCAACCTTGTGTGCCAGATGCTGTTCCAGGCCCTGGAGTGCCCTGTGGACCAAAACCCCCAAGTCCCACAGGTTGGGCAGGTGAGGAACCAAACAACTCACCGCATTGCCATCAAGTCAGAACTGCCAGCTGACCCTCCAAGTGGGTTTTCAGAGGCTGTAAATCTCACGAGAGGAGACTTGTCCATCCTTCTGGGGAGCAGTTGGTTGATTCGAACTGCCACAGAGACACTGCCTTTGGGCTGGCAGCACAACTCCACGGACTATGCTGCCAGAGCTAGCTGGAGACCTGTGGGTTCAAAGTGTTTGCTGTCCAAGGGGCAGTTTAGACCGGCTGTCCTGGTGGGTCTAGACTGGCAGCTGTGGGCAGGGGGCAGCCCTGACCAGCCCTCCACTGCTCTGCAGGCCTGCAGGAGCTATTCCAGGCCCCCGACCTGCGTGGGATCTCTGACCGGAGCCTGGTGGTGTCCAGTGTGCAGCACCAGTCCACCTTGGAGCTCAGCGAAGCTGGCGTCGAGGCAGCCGCAGCCACCGGCACAGCCATGTCCCGCATGTCCCTCTCCTCCTTCTCTGTGAACCGCCCCTTCCTCTTCTTCCTCTTCGAGGACACCAAAGGCCTGCCGCTCTTTGTGGGCAGCGTGAGAAACCCCAACCCTAGTGGGAAGCCGGAGCTTAAGGAACAGCAGGATTCCCCCACCGCCAAGGATTCCACCTCGGACGAGAAGGCCTTCCACTTCCACGACAAGTCCTTTGGCCCTGACTTGAAGCTTGCACCCCCCTCAGAGGAGGATTACCGTCAGCTTAGCAGCCCAAAGTGAGGGATGGTGGCCACCATTGTCCTGAGCCCCTGCCTGGACAAACCTCTCAGCTCATGTGACTCTTTCCAACCAGCTTCGTGGGATGGGGAGGCAGGGTCTTGGGGTGGGGGCCAGCCTGGGAGGGGAGAGGAGTCATTCCTTCCCATCTTTCAGAATTCTGGGGTGGGGTAGGGTGAGGGAGGCCAGGTCTCAGGGAATTCTGCACCATTTCATCCACAAGGTGTCATTTTTTGAGGCTTGGGTGGGTAGGCCAGGAAGGCACAGAGATTAGGCTATTCCCAAAGTCAGCCGGGACATCTCCATGTTTGTTTACAAGACAGGAAGAGGCAGGAGGGGGGCATCCCAGGACACCCTGACTGCAGAGAGGGAAGACAGCCCTCTGGCTGGGACAAAACATAGTCCCAGGAACCAGGCGCTTTGGGCCAGGCCTGTCCTGGGACCTGGGACTCACTCGGTCTGTAGAAGCCAGGTGTGTCTGCCATTCCTCTGGAGGCTGCCATGTAGTGACCCCCTGCCCTTGCCTTGACTCCCTGGCTCCCACTGCTCCTCAGAGAAGCTGGCACTGCCATCATCTTCCTCCCTCTCTCCTGCCTTCCTCTGGTAGCTTGGGGGGCCATGGCAGAGATGGGCCTCACAAGCTCCCAAAGCCTCTTTTGTAGTTTTTGTAGTGATTTTTACACCAATTGAATAAAGAATGAATGGGCTGGGCTGGTTCGATGTTCTGGACGTGGGTGAGAGCAAAGGGGGCTGGAGGAAGGTGGGGAGAACATGACACAACCGTCTGAGGAGCAGGATGGGGGATGAGGGCTGGGCCCCAGGAGGACCTACAGTGCTCCATGCCATGTGTGGGTCCCATGGTCACAGGCCAGCCCTTCCCCACCCAGCAGTCCCTCTGACCTTGTTGGCCCACTGCAGGGGCACCGCCACAGCAGACTTCACTCAGCCCACTCCACTCCACAAGCCTTGGGGAGCTGGCAGCAGAGGCGGCTCAGAATAGCCCAGCTTCCCAGATGGGGAGAACTGGCAATTAGGGAGCTTGCGGAGCTTCTAATTACACACTGGCCCCTCGGGCCAGGATCTGGCGCCCGCCAGCTGGGTGGGTGGGGGAGGCTGCTGGGAGGACCCGTCTCCAGCTGGAGGCTGTCCCTCCTCTGGGGGAGCCTGCCTTCATGCCACACCCAGGAGCTGGGTGTCCATACAGGTGAAGAGGGCCAGGGCTGCAGGTGGGTGGGCTCCCTTCCAAGGTGGGCCTTGTCTGTGAGGGTGGAGTGAACGTGTGGCAGCAGCCACTTGCACCTCTGAGGTGCTGTGGTGGAGAGCAAGGTCCTCCACTTGCCTCCATGGATGTCTCAGGAAGAACATTCTGGACAGAGGGAGGCATGGACTTTGTCAAGGGGGATCATGCTCAAGATGAACAGGAGATGCATGAAGTTGGGGGTTCAGGAAAGGAGTGAGGTCAGAGAAGAATCCCCATTCTTCTCTGGGGTCAGACTATGTCGGACTTTTGGGGGAGCTCTGGTGGCCTAGTTTATAAGGGGTTGAGCTGCTAACCTAAAGGCCTAAAGGCGTCGCCTCTCCAGTGGTTCCAATCCCCCTCCTGTTCTGTGGGAGAAAGATGGCCAGTGCCCTCCTGTGTGATTTACAACCTCTGAACACTCACTGGAGGGCCAGCTATCTGTCTGTCGGTTTCTACTCAATGGCAGAGTTTTGAGTTTTTAAAATTCATCCTAAAAATAACAGCATTAAAAAAAAAAATAACAGCACTTATCCTAAGAGAGAAGTCATCACTGGAAAGTTAAATCGGAAGTCAACATGGCAGTTCAGTGTTAGAATTCCCATCTTCAGAACCAGAGGCCAAGATATGGTTCCCAGCCAGTGATCTTACGTGATGCCACCAGCCCCGTCTTCCAGAAGGTGCTGGGCAGATTCCAGTGCTGCTTCCAGGCTGAGATGGAGCAGGAAGAAAGTCCTGGCTATCTATTTCTGAAAACCCAATGGACCTGTCACAGTGGTTCAAGTGGAAACCAGTCATGGAGATGGTGCAGGGCTGGGCAGCACTTCATTCCATCGTCACCATGAACTCAGGTCCAACTTTGCCATTTGTTGCTAGATTGTTCTTCAAAGCAGTTGTAGCAACATACCTTCTCACCAGCCAAACACAGGAGTTCTTGGGTGTCCACAGCCTTACCATACTTGATATCATCAGGTGTTTAAATGTTGCCTGTCTGAGGAGTGTGGAATAGAAATCTACGGCTGCATTTGCCCTCTCCCGGCTACTGTTGTTAGATGCCATCAAGTCAGCTATGACTCACAGGCACCTGATGAACAACAGATCTGAACCTTGTCCTAACCTGTGCCATCCTTACAATCTCTGATACGCTCAAACCCATTGTTAGTCACCATGTCTATCTTGTTGAGTATCTTCCTCTCTTTCTCTGACCCTCTGGTATTTCCCAGCATGATGTCTTTTTCCAAGGACTGGGCCCCTCCCGACAATATACCAAAGTCTGTGAGCCAAAGCTTCACCATCGTTGCCTCTAAGGAGCACCCTGGATGTACTTCCTCTAAGACAGACTTGTTTGTTCATTTGGCAGTAGTGGGTATTCCCTGCTCTTCTCCAATACCACAATTCAAAGGCATGATTACGAGTGAGGCTAAAACATCTTCTCATAAGTCTACTTGCCACATAGGATTCTTCTCCTGTGAGTCACCTGGACCTATTTTCCTTTTGAATTGTTTCACTTTTTCTTCTTGATTATTCTTTATATCACAGGGAGTTTTGGTGGTGTAGCCTGTAGGATGTTGCCCTGCTAAACCAAAAGGCTCTGTCTCTGGAGTTCAAATCTACCAGCTGCTCCACAGGAGAAACATGGGCAGTCTCCTCTCTTTAGGATTTACAGCCTTGGAAGACAATGGAGGATCAAGTAGACAACAGTGAGTTTAAGTTCCTTGAGTGTATCTTGTTTTTATGTGCTGTCAAGTTGCCTGTGACTCACAACCATGTGTATAAACCTGTCTCACTGACTCTGATACACTTATCCCCATTGCCCTAGTCACTGTATCAGTCCATCTCATCTGGGGTTTTCCTTTCCTGAGCTGTCCCTCTACCCTTCTGAGCATGATGACCTTTTCCAAGGATCAGTCCCTCCTGGCCACATGCCCAAAGTATGTGAGATAGAGCTTCAGAATCCTAGTCTTCAAGGAGAAATTTGGTTTCATCCTCTCTAAACAGACCTATTTGCTTTTTTGCAGCACAATTCAAAGGCACCAATTATTCTATCCTCCTTAGTCACTCTACAGCTCTCTGATGCATACATAGCATGTAACTGCAAAAACCATGGACTGGATCAGGCACACCTTAGTCTCTAGACTGACATCGTTGCTTCTTAGTACTCTGAAAAGGGCCCCGACAGCAGATTTACCTAATGCAATTCATCTTTTTATTTCCTGACTGTTGGTGTCAAAAGTGACTGAGGAGCCGAGCAAGCTGCAACGGTTAAAAACCTCAATCTCTTCTCCATCTATCATGGTGCTGCCAATTGGCCCAGTGGTGAGAATCTTTGTCTTCCTGATGTTGAGCTTCAAAGCATATTGAAGACTACAGTCGTTGACCTTCTGCAGCAAGCACTTCTGGTCCGCCTCAGTGTTAGCAAGCAGGGTTGTGTTATCTGCACAACGTATACCTTATAGTTAGTAATTTTTTGCCAGTTCTGTTACAAATACTCTCTCTCAGTAAGAAGCTCTAAGAAGCTTGTTTTAAATTTTATTTTACAATACCTTTTCATGAAAGCAGTTTTTACGTTCAGTGTTAACTCAATCAACTTAAAATTTTTTTGATGTCTCATTAAAAAAAAATCTTTTCTACTTAGAGATCACAAAGATATCCATCTATATTTTTTCCCCTAAAATGTTTGTGATACACCTATTGTGTATGTGTGTTTGCCTTTTTTTCTTAAACACACACAGCCTATTTCTAAAAATACACATGAGAAAGAGGCTAACAATGGTGTCTTTCTGGAGTATAATTAGTGGTTGGAATACAGAGAGGGGACTTTTCACTTCATACCTTTTATTCTCTCGATATTTGGTGAACAATAAAATTACATGCTCAAAAAAAGTAAATAATTTAAATAGAAGTCATTAGAAAAGGTTTTGTAGAAACAGGAACAGTTGTTTACTTTTAAATCTTTAATGCGCTGGAATTAATTTTTAATTCTTTTTAAATTGTGGAGTGTGGGAATTCATTCTTGTGTTATGGTGTCAGATAAGGATGCAATTCTTATTGTTCTGATGGAAAAGGCCTTGCTTCAAGATCACTAATTGAGGATTAGCTCCACCTGGATTGTCCTCCTGCCTTCCTGTTCTTTAAAAATAACAAAAGCCAGGGAGCTCTTGTGGCCTAGTGGCAAGAAGCTGCACTGCAATCCCAGAGGTGGTGGTTGTGTTGTTAAGTGCCGTCGACTCATAGCGACCCTATGAAGGAGAGTCCTCAGTGCTTGTGTGTCTTTCATCCTCTCTCCAAGTTCATAGGGTTTCCGGAGGCAAGCTATTACGGAAGCGGGTCCCACTTCTCCTTCCAAGCTTGTTTTAATCGGGGAGCTCCACCCCACATATGACACATCAGTGTCACAGTGTTCAGCCTCACAGCACCCACAAGTTATCGCTGTATGGCAAGTGGACACACCAGGGCTATATGACCTAAAGGAATGTTTGAACAAAAACAATGACAGTTCAAATCCACCAGATGCTCTGCTGGAGAAGGAGGGGCAATCTCCTCCTATATCAATCAGATCTGATTTGATGGTACACACACACACACAAATAATAGAATAAAATCAAATAATTAAAAAATAGCAAAAGCCTGCTTGCCACAGAGTTGACCTGGACCCAAGGCAACTCAATGTTCTGTCAGGGTCAGGTTCGCACCATAGGTTTTTCAGTGGCTGATATTTCAGAAGTAGCTTGCCAGGCTTCTGTTCTGAGGGACTTCTGGATGGACT